GGGGGGGGGGGGGGGGGGGGGGGGGATCGTGTAAAACAAGCCATGGAATGCCGAATTAATTGTTGCATGATGAAGTTCTTCGAAATCAAGGAGTTCGTTAGTTTGCCCCCTAACTAATTGAAGATTTTTGAATGAAGTGTATTAGTTTTTATTGATTTTAGTTTGGGTGGCTTTCCTTTTCCTTTTCTTTCTCCTCATCCTTTACCTTCCTTCCCCTTCCTCTTCCCATTCCCTTCATTTTTTTCTTTTCTTCCCTTGGGCACCATTTTCTTAATTTTCATGATTGAAAGATTCGTAAAATATAGTTAGAAGGTGAAATTTTGTTCACGGTATAAAATTTTCCAACTCACATTTGTTAGATTGCCTAACCATACTCGTCTGTTTGAGAGCCAAACTCGAGCTAGTCTTCCTACCCTGTTGTTTGACGGAGGATGATCTAGAGAATTGTGGAATACAATTTTAACGGAGATGAAAAACATGACATTTTCTATTAGTTGCATTACGCCTCTTATGTCCATCCAGAAGCTCCTCATGCTATACTTGCAAATGATCAAGTATTATTTTCGTTTATTCTTAAGTCGCTAGGCCTTGTGCTTCATGTATAAATATCACCCCATTTTCATGTAATTATTCATTGAGGAATGTCGAAGTGCCTTCATTTGCTTAAATCTTGAATTGCACCAACTGTATAAGGAGCAAAAAGACTAAATTTTTTTTTATACAGCTAGTTGCCAAAAAATTGGAGTCTACAACAACCACATGGAAACAATAGCAGCAGCCGCTTGATAGTATTGTAGTCGACTTCTCTATGCAGAACAAGATGATCAGCTCAAAACTTGTAAGTCTTTCATGTCCTTGGCTTTGAGGGAGTTGGAGAAGATGGTGGTTTCAAATCTGGGTACTGTCATATATGTGTTATAGAAAATGGAGTCAGTCTGTAAATCACATGCACAGTAAATCCACAATCAAAGTAAATACAAACACTAGATCATGACAGGAAGAACATTCTACATAAAAGAGAGTCTCCAATATATAACGAAACATGCATTTTCTATTAATTGAGTGACTTTCAGACATTTTTGAAGCTAGTGTTTTTAGATGAAACACTTGATACAAGCAGTTTAAGGAAAACCACTAATTAAATGGTTTCCTTTGAGGCATTTCAAAGGCTTTTGATTGTTTTTATATTGCTTAGAAGCATATTGGACTAGATAATCTAACATACAAAAATTCCAATGTGCTTTTGTATTTTACTTGAGCTTAGACCCTCTTTTTCTCTACTTATAAAGAGTGAAAAATCAGTTCATACTTAAAAGATGTATTAGTTGACAGAGTGAACTTACGTTTGGATAAGGAGATGATGACCTTGACCGAGTTTTCAACTTGGACTCGGTGTCTGACGATGCATTGACATGGAGGGGTGAAGTTTGGATTTCTCCATTGGAGGAGTTCAAAGATGGAACAGCCTCTTTGTCTACACTTTTTTGAACAACTCCATTAGTCCCAAACTTTTTGGAAGCCTTAGCCTTTTTCCTTCTGCTAATGTGAACAGAAGGCGGTAACAAGGACTCCTGAATTGCCTGCAAAGAGGATGAAAATAAGTAACAGAAAGCTTTACCTAAATTAGAATAGAGTCTAACCTCTACTTTCTAACTTCCACCAAGTCAAGATTTGGAAAGAAAAGAAACTAAAGAACCTTTTCACCCTACTGTCAACACAGGTAGTAGGTATGGAATCTGAACAGAGAAATTAAGGGTGAGAATGAAAACTCGGAAAAAAACTGCTGTACTAACTCGAATCAAATAGTTAATGTTGGCTGATTAAGTTTTAGACACTTTCAAAATCGAAAAACTTCGGTCGATTTGAAAAGTACCTTAGGATGAATTCTTATCGTTTATGGGGTTCTTGAATAATTTAGATCTAAAGGTCTTATTCTTCAATGAGGTTGTTAAATCAAATCCCAAGAACTTCATAACAGAACAAGAAAAAGTGATCGTATGACTTGTGGGGAAACAGGTTGGAACTCTCGTAGGCCAAACAAAAATGGAAATCAATTAGAAATTTAGAAGCCAAGATAAAAGGGTGTGACGGTTAACGAACCATCGCCTATCTTGCCAACCTGAATTAACATTGGATCAAAGCAAGAGGTCTTGTATTCGAACCCCTTTAAAGTCATTTCCGCTCCAATTAATAGTGCATCCACAAATGATATAATCAAATTTACCTTAATCCATCAACTCAAGGTTGATTAGTCATTTAACAAGATTCAATATACTTGCACAATCAACCAAGAGTGGATAGATGGGCAGAGTCTTGTATCTCCTTATACAACACCTTGATATAAAGATATCGACTTGACCCAATACCTTTGGATCATATTCTAAGCATAAATAATGGTTGGTTTGAATGATGGAGGAAGAAAATGACCAAGAGAAGATGAGTTGGATTTTGACAATAGGTGATTGTAGGATGTAGCCTATGCTAGTGGTACTAGAGAAGCATAAAACAAGCTCTACCAACCGTGTCTAGAGGAACGTCAACCACTGTTGCCTCTAAGTTCTCGAGTTAGGAAAACCACTCGACTTCACCACCTAGAAGAGAAAAGTAACACGATGATGATTGTGGTTAATAGGAAATGTACACGAGCAAGGCAGAGATGGAAGAGATCGAACATGGGAATATTGGAAATCATGAGTCGAATGTCGAAGGAGAATCTTTAGATGGTACATTGATTTAGAAGAGGACGAGGACCGAGGATGACCTTGGCTTTCGATGTTTAGCTATTTTTCCCCACTTTTCGTTACTCTTTTTTTTTTTCAATGAATAGGGTTATTCATTGAAAAAAAAAAAAGAAAGAATACCAAAACTAAGGGGCCACCAGAAGAAAGAGCCCCCAAAAAGGAGGCAAGAAAACAAATCAAAATAAACATTACAACGTATCATGATTAAGCCTTCAACTAAAACATATTCATCAAGTAGATTAGCAAAAGGAGGACACATACCATCCACCCTTTTTCGCCCCTAACACCATCCTTGATTGCATAAGCCTCCTTGAAGCCATTCTTGAACAATAACTCGGCCACTTTCATGGAGTTACCATCAAAACTACCTTAGACATTAAAAGCGTAGCACGTTATGAATTGGACTCATAAAATTGGCAAGAGAGCAAAGTTTGAAACAACGAAATTCGGGGCCTTCCGTTTAGTTTTAGGCCCCATTAGCTAAATAGGAAAACCATAAGACATGACTCAGGCCATGATAACTACAACAGTGTTCGCTATTGAAGTTTGCACATTTATGGAGTACACCATGTGCACCATATTCCTCTCATTCATTCTGAAACAGCCTAAATCTGCTATCTACCTCTAGCAGATATTGTCTACTTTGGCCCGTTACGTATTATCATCACTCTCACGGTTTTAAAATGCATCTACTAGGGAGAAGTTTCCACATTGTGAGATCTCACATCAGTTGGAGAGCAAAACGAAGCATTCTGTATAAAGGTGTGGAAACCTCTCCCAAGCAGACATGTTTTAAAACTGTGAGGCAAACGAGTAATGGGTCAAAGCGAACAATATCTGCTAGCGGTGTGTTTGGGCTGTTACATTTTCCCTCTCTCAATCTTCCTCTCTCCCATGTTTCCTCTCTTGGCCTCCCTCGCTCATCCCTCTCCATCTTCCCCACTGCCTCCAGCGTGCAAAAAACTAAAATAAAAGTATGAAGATCACACAAATCCATTTTCATTTGAAGTAAATGGAAACAACTTACTTGTCCAGGACAAATACAAGAGTATCAGCACCATCTCCAAAGCCCTTCTTCACCTTCTTCACAAACCCATCTTCATCCTCCTCTGAATACACAACCTGCACCACATCCTTATTCAAAATCCTCAAATTGGGAGACCCTAAAAACGCCAAGCTCTTTTCATCTCTAATATCCAAGAGCTGTGCATTTGGGTCATCCCGAATTCTGCGAAACGCATCAATGGCAGAAATGAACTTGTACTTCCTTAGAAAATAGTAGTCAATCAAGGGTATCCCAACAAGCCAAATGAAGGTACACCCAGCAACAAAAAATGGGTATCGGTTGAAAAAGTCATCAATCGAAACTAAAATGGACTCCAAGTTTATCTTATCGGAAGAAGCTTGGTCGGTTTCCAAGGCGAGGCTAGGGAGAGGGGAGAGAAGGAGCTGAGTAAGAGCAAAAGGGAGATGGGATTTCACCAATTGGTGAAATGGGGAGGTTTTTGCGAAGAGAAAATGGGGGTTTCTGAGAGGCTTTGAAGGATTGGTTGGGTTTTGAAATGGGGTTTTGTTAATGGTGGGAAGATGGGCGCCATTGAAGACGCTGAGAGGTTTTGAATTGAAGGGAATGAGCGACGGGGATAGAGAGATTGGTTTGTGAGAGGGAAGTTTGTGGAGAAATAGGGAGGAAGAGGAGAGGTAGAGGGAGTGCGACTCCATTAGAGAGCTCTGTAATGACTGGAAGAATGGGAGACAAGTTGGGATAAAATCGAACGCAATCTAATCTGTAAATTGATTTTTATTCCGAAAAAATAATAATAATTGATCCATTACGTTACGCTTTATTCGTGGCATGCATGAAGGGAAATTTTAATTCTTCTAGGAAAAGGAAAGGATTAGGCCAGGAGGTTTTTCGTAGTTGGAACAGATTCAAACAGAACTGAAGCAAGGAGGAATTTGAATTCCATACTCCGATCTTACTCGGGATTTAAACATCTAAACACATGTTCAAACGTCTAAACATCATAAATTTCTGAACTCTTAACTCTTAATACCAAGTAGATGCTCGTAGATCTACTACAACACAAATTCAGATATGTATGAAACTTGCTAAACTTATAATTTAACTTAAACCCTCCAACTCAAAATTAGGGGGCATTTACAAGAGAATAGCTTCTTCGTAATTACACGTTCATTTTAGTACTTAACTCCGATAAATGTCGAGCTCGGAGGAAGTGACAAAAATGACAATTCCCATAATCAGATTATATCATAAAGCAATATATATACAAATTTTGAGATGTGGTTTCAATGGTCTAAAAGCACCCTCCACCTGCCAATAGCAAAACCAAACATACATAAGGCTGATAAAATGGTGAGGAACACCAGAATCAGAACTGGGTGCCACCGCCATCTTTCAACATTTCCATGGGGATTCTCAAGCCAACTACTTGCCCCACAACTGAGAGCCATGAGGCGACATATCTTTCAATCGCTATCTCATTCTTGAACCAGGATGCGTCACTAAGTAAGAGTAGCTTCATCCATTCCCTCGTTCCACAAGGATGTAATTTGAACCATATTCTGTTTAAATATGGATGCTCCTGACATTAATCCATACCAAAACCAGTTAACATCACAAAGTTCATGTACAAGAAAAAAGGGAAAAAAAAAAAAAGCATCCTGCATTCTTATTTCTCAATCAGAAAATGACCGCGACAGAGATAGAAAAGAAACTTTCAGAACATGCACATGGTCCCACCGCTATCAGATACTGTCCTTTTTGAGCTTTCCCTTTCAGATTTCCTCTCAAGGTTTTTAAAACTCTGCTAAGAGAGGTGTCTTATAAAAAATGCTTCGTTCTCCTCCCCAACCGACGTGGGATCTCACAATCCACCCCCCCTTGGGGCCCAGCGTACTCGCTGCCACTCTTTCCCTTCTCCAATCGGTGTGGGACCCTCAATCCACCCCCTTTGGGACCCAACATCCTTGCTGGCACACCACCTCGTCTCCACCTCCTTCGGGGCTCAGCCTCCTTGCTGGCTCATCGCCTGGTGTCTAACTCTGATACCATTAGTAACGGCTCAAGCCCACCGCTAGCAAATATTATCCTCTTTGGATTTTTCCTTTTGTACTTCCCCTCAAGGTTTTTAAAACGCGTTTGCTAAGGGGAGGTTTCCGCACCCTTATAAAGAATGCTTCGTTCTTCTCTCCAACCGATGTGGGATCTCACATTTATGTTGGGAGGGGGTTCTCTCTACCCTGCCCGTAAACTGTTCCTTCTTTTGTTTTAATGCAAACTCATTTATGCTTGGTGCATCCAAAACCAAAGGCCAAAAAAAATGTCAAAGAAAAGCTGTACCTCCTGAGTAATAAATGTCCATTTTGAATTCAATAGTGTATCTGCAGACTGTGATGGAAGGTCCTTTTTCATTTCTTCAAACGTCAGAGGTTGTCCATCTGCACACTTTACAAAATTAGTATACTGAATGGGAAATACTTCATATTAGGAACAGAATTCAAACACATCCACCCAAAAAATAGATATTTTAAACCTCCTATTTCCTATACCATAATTAGGCCAAGGGGGAAGATAGAGACAGTGGAAACAGATCATAGCGAAGACAAAGCACATACATTCAACCACTCATTCTCGACATGCAAGTGACATTCTATTGTAGCTTCCTTGTCTAACAGAGTCAAAATCATACTGTCAGTGTTGCCCCTCTTTTATACTTCTCAATTTTTTTCGTTCAATATCAGCTAGGGTTGAGGATTCGTACCTCTAACCTTTTGGTTGAGGATTCGTACACCTTTTGGTCGAGGATATAATACTTTAACTGGTTGATCTATATTTTACTATTATCAAGGAAAGTTTCTTTATCTTTTTGAAAATAAATAAGGATCATGATTCTAGGAAAAGGGTCTAAAAGATCAATTCACAGAGGAAAAATTAAGAATGTGTGGAAAGATTTTGCAATGGCTCAAGTCACTTGGAATAACCCATGATGTCACACACCTTAATTTCCAATATATGCCACCGAATCACATTTTTAGAATAACTACATTCAACATTTCAAGGAGCATGCTAATTACAGGTATTAGCGAGCTCAGAAAGTTATGGATAAATAACCAAATATTACATCAGAACACATCAATCTATTCATGTGAGATCCCACGCCGATTGAAGAGGAGAACAAAACATTCTTTATAAGAGTATGGAAATCTCTCCTTCGCAGACGTGTTTTAAAAAACTTGAGGAGAACCCCAAAAGGGAAAAATCAAAGAGGACAATATCTACTAGTGGTAGGCTTGAGCTGTTACAATCCATTTGCTAAATATCTAGAAACTAAAAGTTTTATGTTTGCATTCGCATCAAACAAGAATATTCTAAAGCGTGATCTTAAAAAGGTATAATGGAACAATAAAACTTGCATACCACAACTGTAAGCTCGAAAGTAAAGCACTGGAACACTATATGAAGAACAGTGCAGAACGTGAAAATCATAGTAATGTACTTCTTCATGATCACTTGGGGAGGAGACCTTGAGAAAAACGGGAGAGTTTGGTTAATGAATGCAACAGATATCACACAACTAAAGAAGTACGGTTACCACACACAAGAACATCAATTACAGAAAGCACATACTAATGTAGCTTCATCGAGAGACTCATTGTTGTTGTCAGCAGTATCTATTTCCTCAAAACACTCTCCTTTCTCCTGCTCGTTCTGTAGAAAACATTTAAACGAAAAAATGAAGAACAATTGTGAATTGCAGAGGAAAAACAAAAAAGGACCACGAAAATGGAAGAAGCAGACCTCTTGTGGTCTCAGAAGGCATATTTTCTCCAAAGATAAGTATCCTTCCACCTAGTAGCATATAAAAAGGCATAAGCAGCCTTGTAAATCAGTGATATCTAATCCAAACAAGAACAAACTTCACCTTATCATCAGAACTAATCCACCGTAGTTTCTGAAATGGAATCCATGACCATGAAGGAAAATCAGAGTTGATCAGATTCCATCTATGAACAAAAGCACAAGCAGCCTTGTAAAAATCACTTGATGAGATAGTTCCATCCAAAGCTAAAGTATTCTCCACCAATGCTTCACATGTACCAACCTAAACGCATCGGAGAAACAGATAGGGCGAAATTCGAAATGGAAAGCGTCAACATGGAACAAAAACTTTGAGGCAGACCAATTATAAGAAACGCATATGAACTACAAACAAAATCATACGTTTTTCGCACATAAAATCGAAATCATTCGGCCATACAGATTTAGAAACAAGTTCGAATAATTTGAACACTAACCATCTGCTTCATTTGAATGACGTGAAATTCACATGGATCAGTGATCATTTCAATAACCCAAAGCTCGGTGATCGGACGATTGTTGGCGTCAAAGTCGATTGTCCTGAGATTTCTTCCATTGCGAATTGTTTCCTTTCGTTCTTGGAGCTGAACCTCGCTTCTGTTGGGCTAATACATGGAGAAAGCCCAAAGAAAATAGTTATGATATATATAAACGTTTTTTTTCTTTTTCTTTTAAATACTCTTAAACTAATTAATTTTTAAAAAAAATACTCAAATTTTAAGATTGTATTATTTATTTGAGTATTTAAAGTTCTAAATTGTACTTTTAATTTATTTTATCACTTTATTAAAAAAAATTATAAATGTGGTCAACTCTCCTAGGTCAACTTTTCTAATATTTTGCTATTTTGTAGGTTGGAAGATGAAAATAAAAAATAGTTCTAAATAGTCTTTAAACTTCTAAGCTATTAGATATATTCACCATGGCGATCAAAGACGACCATCACGTATATTTTATAGAATTCACATTTGAAACAAAACATAACAAAACGTCAGTGTTTAACTAGGAAAAATACAAAAAAAAAAAATAGTATATTGAACATTGTAAAACGAAAATATATTCCCGAGCCAAATTCTACGTTTTAGCTAACTCGAAAAAGAAAATTACATATGAAAACGCTTAATGAAATGCATTCTAAATCTAATACAATAACGAATAACGAATAACGAATAAAAGAATATATGGAACTTTGTATAACACAATAGACGAGAGAATCAAACACATGAAAGAATGCATTATAACAGTTAACAAGATCAACCTCACCTTCTATACTCAATTACGGCTAGCTTTCAAATTTGTGATACGTTTGGAAGATAGGTATTCAGAAGAAGATCAGGAACCTCAAATGGGGCGTTTGATGGTGGTGCTGCGTCGTTTGAGGACGATGAATGCGGAACAGAGGAGTTCTGAAGCTCGGTTGATTCTAACACTGCCTCTGAATGTGTCATATTATTTACGGATGACGGTGGTATTATTTGAGTTTCTACTGGTGTGGTGTTGGAGGATGCTAATTGAATATCAGATGGCTCTAAACCATTTAACGTTATCGGAACATTTTCTACTGAAGTAGTCGAAGACGTGTCGGTAGCTGCTGTATTAGTTGGGGCTTTACCGTCTGAAGTCTGTTCAGTTGGTTCGGATTGGGTCGGTGTACCTTCTGTTTGTTGTTGTGGATCAGCAGGCGGTGCTTCCAGTAGCAAAGGCTTGGCTGGTTGCTGCAATGCACCTGGTGCCCCAGGAGTTGGCTTCTTTGGAGCTAGAATGGAAGATGACAGAGTTGGCATTCCAGGAGGAAGGATTTCAATTGGAGGCTTCTTGCCTGCATCTGCCAAGGTTGTGAGTTTTGGCTCCTCGAGTGATGCAAAAAATGCAGCTGCAGCGTCGGTCTTTTCCGACGAGGTGTGATCCATCTCCTTTTGTAGCATCTTGTTCCAAGACTCAACCAAGTTTTTCAATGTCGGTCGACCATGAGCCTGAAAATTGCAAGTTAATGCACAGACAGAAGTACATATACAGAACAAATAAAGTTGACATACTTGAGCATGAAGCACAGCTTCCGCAAGCATTCCTGTGTCTTGCCATGCTTTCTCCATGAGAACATTGTCTCCTAAAACCGCTGCTGCAAATGCTGCTTCACGTCCCGAGCCGACTGAGATCAAATTGTTCACTAATCCCTGAAACGTTTACATCGCGATTTATCATAAGCAGACTATTGAAGACTAATTATCTTAAGAAAGAAAACCCAACCACTGTATGCATGAAGTATCCAGTCTGCCACTTACACGAGACGAAGAATATACAAACTTAGGCCAATTAAGAAGCTTTAAAACATAAGTGAACTGTAAGGCCGAGCACTTACACTCAATCGTGTCAACTCTCCATGATTTGCTAGTCGGAGAGCCAATCCTCTTAACTCATGACCTTGTAATGCACCTTTCAAGGAACCTGCAGCAGCTAACCTTTTAAGAGCCTCACGAGCAATATCAGCCTGTCCAGTAGCATCTGCTGCGTCAATCAAGTCCAAAAACTCTTTTGCAAATTTCACAATTCCTTGAAATGTTTCAACCACATCGTCCTTTTTAGTGGTTAAGCTGAGAATGTCACTCAAATCAAGCCCTGTATTATCTTGCCCCATGTCCCTGCTGTTGCTCATAGTAAGAAGACACTGAAGTGCTCTTTTTAAATCATTTCCTTGCATGGCCAGATCAAATTCCAATCTGAAAATTGAATAGAGATGGATTAACAATTATAACTAGGACTAGAGTAATCAGATTGCAATACAACTGACATGGTTTTGACACATTGATCTCATATCAAGTGACAGACTCCAAGCTACTACTCAAAGAGTTATTGAGGAACTACGTATGAAGGGGCTTAAAAGCGGCAACAAACCACAAAAATGGATGTACATGTTTGTATGCTTTCTGACCAGCGATCTTGATGGAAAAGCAAACATAGGCATTTTACTTTTACAGGGGGGTAGCATATTTCCTGCAAGTGTTTGTTTACCTCTTCGATATTCCTGGCAGATGTAGAGCTTCCATGGCATAGCCCATACCAAGCATAAATTGGGCTAAGTCATCATGATGTTCTCTACCAAGCCTACTTGCCCTGCAGAATAAGTTCTATTTAGGACTTGAAACGATTCCAGCCATTACCACAATGAAAAGAATGAGGAGAAAAAAAGAAGCTCATACCATTTGACGGCACTGATTGCATCACCATAGGCAGCAAGACACCGACAACGAATACCAGGATGATTTAAGGATAAAGCATGAGCACTCATGTACCTGGCCAAGAAAACTCAAGCAACGTAAGTCGGGATTTTCATTATTGCATTCAGAACTTTTTTCTGATTCAAACTCAAGAATCCTCCGAAGCATAAAAGATAATGACATTGAAAAATGAGACAAAGAAGGATGATTCACGGTTTAAACTCTATGCATTCAACATGATCGACATTGAGCAGCTAGTATAATTTTTTAAATGCTTCACAAGCACATGGTTCGTGAAAGATTTACTGAACTTTCACCAGTAACTCTGGGATAGTATAACAAAATGGAAATATGTGAACAAACAGAGAACCAGGTTATCGACTTGAGAAAAACTTCAACATTTGTACTTTCTAATGGGAGGATGGGTAGTTATGTCCTTTAAATTCCTATATAGTACAAGATTCAAGTACCTGTCAATTAACCAGAGAACTCCATCTCTAACACCAACTACAACTAGAGGTCCTACAGGACGTTTCTGCTCAGCTGGGAAACGAGTAACTGCCACTGACACTCCACCACCGCCAACTGCTATCTCATTTGCTCTTCTGTCTTCAGTATCTTTGTGCATCACCGAATCATCTGCATCCACTTTCGACTGTTTGGGTAATGATAAAAATGGTGGTACAGAAGGAGCTTGCTGAAATGATGCTAATCGCACCACCTGATATAGTAAGGTAAAATTAATATTAAAAGATAAGAAGGAAATTAGCATTATTCATATGATTCACGAATCATATACTGCATACCAGAAATTAAGTTACAAAATACTATTTTGAACAAAGGGTAGGTATTGGACGTATATCCAACATGGATGTGCACTTGATAGTTTTCTGAAACAATTTTCTTTATGTGATTTTTCTTATTTAATTTATAAATTCTTCTTTGCTAGGAAAGGCCAAAACTAAACACTTGATGGTTAGTAGAGCAGAATAACTATAAAAATTGGTTTTAGGAACTACTCTCCAAATAAGAAACCAAATGTCCCCATAATTTTTCGAATTAGAAATTTGAAATTGTTAACTTTCTCACCGGAAGAGACTTTCCCCATCAGAATCTGCAAGTATTCTGAAGTCAGTAGGAAAGGTCTTCCCATATCGGTCAAGGATATGCATGAAATCAAGATTCACATTATGTAAACCCAAAATAAGACAACATTTCCAATATCGTGACCACAGATAGTCACATATATAGAAAGGGAATAAGATTTGACCTGAAGCATTGGGGGCCTCAAGGTTATTCTTTCCTGGGCAACAGTTTGAGGGCCATCTACAGTGATAAGAGCCAACTCCCCATGCTCAGCAATGGCTTTAGCTTGTGCATCTTTCAACTTCATCTCTTCTTTCATTCTTTTCATTTCAATGTCAATAGCTGCAACTCCAGCATCCACAAAAACACATCTAGAACATGAGGCAGAACAAAGTAGCATAAGTTCTAGTAGCATCTCCTTTAAATTAAAATTTCATATTTCTATCACAACGACATAAAAGAGCACTTAAAATAATTTATAAAATCTCAAAAGAATATGTATTGCATTTTATGACAAAGAATGAGAAAAACTACTTGTACAAGCAAAAAAAAGAAAAGAAAAGAGTACAATGCTCCTGTCTCTCTCCCGAATACCTGTCTCCCCTGTCTCCAATATGCCTCACCAGAAACAATGGACCTGGTAAAAAGGTTTTCCCTCATCTCCCAATGATGATGCGTAAAACAACTAAGATTGAAAACAAAGTTTTCACATGCAATTTTGGTCTTGCAGAGGATGAATAGTTAAAATTTCAGAACCCCATTTGAATTATACGTTTGCAATTAGTGGAGAAAAGGTTGTGGTCATTATGGGTTGCAGATGCTACTTAAGACCTCATCATCCAACAGTCACACAAGTTCTTTTAGAAAACAGTGTAATGGAGGATTCATATGGATCCAAAAAAACAAAACCATGAACAAAATAGGAAGCTTCTTATAGATTACAAAGGTTCTAAATGGAAGAAAAGGAGACGTTGTTGTCTCTGGGGAAGACTACCGAGGATGGGCAAACTTCAGAAGTCTTATTTTTCTATTTCTTGAAAGGAAAGGGCAGCTCCCAAATGAAACAGAAGAATAAAATGGAAGGAGTAGACAATCATACGAAAACATGATAAAGGTGGCAACAACAACCTCCATGCGGCCGTCAGGAGCTGTCTTCAAATCAAGGCCCGGAGTGAGAAGGAAAGATTGAAGTGGCATCCTAGTGGTAACTGAACTGGACTTCCACAACGACTAGAATAGGATCTTGAAGTTTATCCAAAATCTAACACAGGATCATCTTCTTAGAAACCTTTTCTAACCTGACAAAGCCTCCTAAAACTTCT